GTGTATGGCAAAGTAGTCAACCATATTTTAGCCTAAGATATTGTATGAATCCTCCTGGGATTCAGTTCAAGATAATGTCTGCCATGGAAAAAAAAAGTCGGATGGACACAATTCAATGAATCACGAGTGAGTTGAAGCACATGGAGCATTGTAGCATATGTGACTTTGGATACACATAGAAGTGTGCAGCCAAGTCCTGTGATCCATAGTGAGATTTGGGCTCAGTGAAATTAGTGAAACTAGCTGCACTGTTCGTGTAAATCGTTGTAACAGAGACCTCAATGAAAATAATAATTCTGTACATGAAGGGCATGACAAAAATGTTTCTTTTAATCACTTCCTAGTCCCGTGGTGGTGAACCAATGGCACGCATGCCAGAGGTGACACGCAGAGCCCTCTCGGTGGGCACACGAGCTGTCGCCCCAGCTCAGCTCTGCTGCCCATGGACACACGCCTTTCGCCGGCAAGCTGGTCTTCAGGTCTCTGCCACGCATGCACATGGGGTGCATGCGTGTGATGCACATGGGCCACACGTGCATGTGCAGGGGGTGAAGTGCATGCGCGGGGAACGCACACACATTGCATTTTGGGGGTTCGCGTGTGCGCGCTTTGGTCACTCGGTCCAGAAAAGGTTAGTCATCACTGTTCTAGTCTATTCTATTCTAAGGTCCACTTTCTAATCTATTCTAAGGTCCTTATATTAATTTGTACTATGGATTTCTATTAACGCCAAGCCTCAAAACAAAAAAGTTATAGAGTTTAAAAATGTGAAAAATCAGGTTACTGGTGTCTATCCCAATAGAACTAAGAGCGGAGAAAAATGGAAGTTAGGAGAACAGTGAAAAAGAGAAACACAACAGTGCTGAGAAAGCAAGAGCCATGATGGCACAGTGGTGAGAATGCAGTACTACAGGCTACTTCTGCTGACTGCTGGCTGCCTACAATTTGGCAGTTCGAATCTCACCAGGCTCAAGGTTGACTCAGCCTTCCATCCTTCCGAGGCGGGTAAAATGAGGACCCAGATTATTGGGGGCAATAGGCTGACTCTGTAAACCACTTAGAGAGGACTGTGAAGCGGAATATAAGTCTAAGTGCTATTGCTATCTCCTCTCCTACTAATAATATGATTCTCCATGACAGGCAGCATACAGGTAGTTTTCAAGTTACAACCACAACTGCGACTAGAATTTCTATGGCTAAGTTAAGGCGGCTGTTAAGTGAGCAGTACCCAATGTTACAACCTTCTTGGCGCAATTGTTAAGCGAATCACTGCAGCAGCTCAGTGAATCATGTAGTCACTAAGTGAATCATGTGGTCGTTAAGCGAATTTGGCTTCCCCCATTGATTCTGAATGTCGGAAACTAGCTGGAAAGTTTAAAAATGGCAATCATAGGATCTCAGGACACTGCAACTGTCATAAATACATGACAGTTGCCAACCATCCAAATTTTGATCATCTGATTGTGGGGATGCTGCTACAAGTCATAGATATGAGGACTAAGTAACTTTTTTCAGTCCTGGTGTAACTTTGAATGATCACTAAACGAATGGCTGTTAAGTTGAGGACTTCCTATACCCTACCCAACAGAGGAACATTATAAAGTCCTGATGAAATACTAGCCCCCTTCTAGTGTTCGTCTCCGCTTAAGTCAGGCGCTAGTGAACACTAGCTCTTGACTTAACATGAAGACTAGCAGCAATTAATATTGTGAATGTTAATCTACAGGACCACATTCTGCCACCGATTGCCTCCTACCGACCAATACGCTCCCACAGAGAGGGCCTCCTCAGGGTGCCGTCAGCCAAACAGTGTAGGCTGGCGACCCCCAGGGGGAGAGCCTTCTCTGTGGGGGCCCCGGCCCTATGGAATGAACTGCCCCCGGACATACGAAGGATCCCCGCCCTCCGTGCCTTCCGTCACGCTCTGAAGACCCTATTATTCCAGCAAGCTGGACTGACAGGATAAAGGTTTTTAAATTGGGGTTTGATAGGGGTTTTTAAATTATCTTAGTTGGATGTTTTAAATTTGGCCGATTGATTGAATTATTTTAATAAGCTTTTAATTTTTGTTGTACATTGTTTTTACCATGGCTGTTCACCGCCCTTAGTCCCTCGGGAGAAGGGCGGTATACAAATATAAATAAATAAATAAATAAATAAATAAATAAATAAATAAATAAATAAATAAATAAATGTGTCCAATCCGTTTTAGGGGGACATCCACACATCTAAAGGACCCAAAGGGGTGATATGATAGCAGTATTCCAGTATTTGAGGGGCTGCCACAAAGAAGAGGGGGTCCAATTATTCTCCAAAGCACCAGAGGGCAGGACAAGAAACAATGGTTGGAAACTAACCAAAGAGAGAAGCAACCTGGAATTAAGGAGAAACTTCCTAACAGTGAGGACAATTAACCAGTGGAACAGCTTGCCTTCAGAAATCGTGGGCGCTCCATCAGTGGAGGTTTTTAAGAAGAAACTAGACAGCCACTTATCTGAAATAGTATAGGTTCTCCCGCTTGAGCAGGGGACTGGACTAGAAGACCTCCAAGGTCCCTTCCAGCTCTATTCTATTCTGTTCTGTTCCAGTTTAATTGCACATTGCATGATATAGTGCAGGGGTCTCCAGCCTGGGCAACTTTAAGTCTGGAGGAGTTCAACTCCCAGAATTCCCCAGCCAGCTTTGCTGGGGAATTCTGGGAGTTGAAGTCCTCCAGACTTAAAGTTGCCCAGGTTGGAGATCCCTGATATAGTGCTTTCTTGCATTGGCCTTGACTCTCTCTGCACTTTATTAATAATAGTTTTGACTCTCCCTCCCTGTTCTAAATGTACCGCTCGGGTCATACGTGTGGCATCCATGCACTTATGCTCACTTACACTTCACTTAGCACCTACCTAGTAGAAACCTCCACTGAATCCAGGGACTTTGTCAAAATAGCCACGCTTGCATTGCATTCTGCCTCACCATATCTATGCATATACAAAAAAGGGTGAAGCTAATAATGCCGTCTAGCAGTGTCATTTCCCCAGCTTGTATCTCACACACACACAGCTTGTATCTCACACACACACACACACACACACAACCTATAGTTTAGCTGAAAAAATGTGAAGTCAACAGGCTGCAAAGGAAGCATCCCATAAACTTCCTTTTGGGAGGGGGGGGCTAAGTTTGTTTCTGGTTTTTTTTTCTTTTTGATCAGGAAATGTGCAGTAGCAAAGTTTGGAAGCAGAGAAGCTAGAAACTAAGCTGCAGTTGCAGGGAATAGAAGGGGTGATAAGAAGCATTCTGAAAAATCAATATTTTTGTTACTGGCTACTTTCCCTTCTCTGCCCACAGCAGCCATTTCATGAATGGCTAGAAGCCATTTTACCAAAGTGCCCCCCCCACGCCCATGTGCTCAAAATTCCATATACTGTGTTCCTTCTGAGTTAGGGATTTCCTTCCTCCTGATTTTTATTGGCACAATAAAGACGGCGTGCATATATGTACATATATATCTACCATCTGGAACGGGCTTCCCCCGGAGTTCGAAACATCCAAGACTTACGCATATTCCGCCGTGCCCTGAAAACATTTCTATTCCAACAAGCTGGTCTGGCCTAACTCTCCCTTTTTAATTGGCTTTTAAATTGGGTTTTTAAATCTCTTTAGATAAATTTGGATGTTTTTAATCTTTGAGCCTAAATTACTTAATCTGTTTCTTAATAGTTTTTAACTTCTATATGTATTTGTATTTATTATGGCTGTTCACCGCCCTGAGTCCTTCGGGAGTAGGGCGGTATACAAATATGAAAAATAAATAAATAAATAAATAAATAAATAAATAAATAAATAAATAAATAAATAAATGTGTGTGTGTGTGTGTATGTATATGTATGTATGTATGTGTGTGTGTATATATAATCATTTTGTGTGTTAGTTCCTTCTGGGGGAAGAAGTGCCTTTACCCATTCATCTCAAAAATATTATTTTCCTCCAATGTTTTCCACACTTTACACCGAATAACAGCTTCCCATCTAATCTCTGGAAATAGCACCCTGAACTACCTACAGTAAAAGTCTGTCCGTTAATTCCATGCACCTGGAAGCCCATCTATGCATTTGAGTTGTGCAAATGTGAGCGTGGAAAGGGAGGGGGGGGCAATGTCAGAGAATTCTGCACATGGGCAGAGGCACCCTTTTCTTTGCTTTCCGCTTGCAGATGCTGCAGAACAAACTACAGGTAGCGCTCTACTTACAACAGTTCACTTAGTGACCGTTCAAAGTTATAACGGCACTGAAAAAAAGTGACCATTTTTCACACTTACAACCATTGCAGCATCCCCATGCTCATGGGCATGCTTGGCAACTGACTCATATTTATGACCGTTGCAGTGTTCCCGGGCTCGTGTGAGCTTCTTTTTGGCAAACTTCTTGCAAGCAAAGTCAAGGGGGGGGGGGAAGAGGAGAAGCTGGATTCACTTAACAACCGTGTTACTAACTTAACAACCGCAGCGATCCGCTTAACAACCGTGGCGAGAAAGGTCATTAACACCGGGGGCCAAATTCACTTCACAAACGCTTCACTTATGAGCCACTTAGAAACTGTTGGGCTCCAATTGTGGCCGCAAGGTGAGGACTAGGTGGCTGGGTGGCTAAGATGCTGAGCTTGTGGATCAGAAAGGTTGGCAGTTCCAAGGTACGAATCCCCTAGTATAGGTCTCTTGCGTAAGCAGGGGGTTGGACTAGATGACCTCCAAGATCCCTTCCAATTCTGTTACTGTTACCAGGGCCCAAATTCACTTCACAAACGCTTCACTTATTAGCCACTTAGAAACTGCTGGACTCCAATTGTGGCCGCAAGGCGAGGAGTAGGTAGCTCGATGGCTAAGACGCTGAGCTTGTCAATCAGAAAGGTCGGCAGTTCCGCGGTTCGAATCCCCTAATACAGGTCTCCTGCGTGAGCAGGGGGTTGGACTAGATGACCTCCAAGGTCCCTTCCAACTCTGTTACTGTTACCTGTTACTACCTGTACTTTAAAGGCGCCCAAGGACGAACCGAGCCGGAGTTTGTTTCCCCCTCACCGACGAGGAGGGGAAGGCTGGCTGGCTGGCTGGGCTCGACGCCAGCTCCACCTCTCTGGCGCGGCGCTGGGGCAGCTCCGCCGCCTCTTCGGTTCCTCCCCGACCTCCCCACACTGCGTTTGCCTCTGACGCGCCGGTCCCGTTCGCCCTAGCGAGCTCTCGCCGCTTCAAAGGAAGGCCGGGCGGGCGGGCGCGAAGCAGCAGCCGGTCCGAGGCGCCAAGCAGCGGAAACAGCCACCACCCTCGCCTCGACGCGAGGGAGACGGAGCGAGGTTAGCCACCGGCCGCCCTTCCCGCCTTTGGAGGCACCTGCCCAAGCCACGCCGCTTCCGACCGACTCCTTCGGGGTGGGAGCGTCCGCCGGTTGGCTGGCTTCGCGGCTCGGTCTCCCTCCCCACCTCCCCTCCTGCCCGCCCGGCTGCGGGGAAAGCGCTCGCAGAGAGAGAGGATCCCTCTCACTCTCTCCGCAAGGTCAACCCGCCTGGACGTTTGCGCTGCTGCAGCGGCGGCTCGGCGGCTGAGGAGGAGGAGGAGGAGGAGGAGGCTGAGGCTGCAAGCCGGTGCCGGTTTCCTCCTGCTTGCTGAGAGGTGAGGAAGCCAAGCGGCTTGCAGAAGCCGAGATTTGGGAACGACGGGCGGGAGGCGCAAAGAACACCTCGCCTCTCCAAAACGGAGAAACCGGCTTCCCTTCGATAGCCAAACGGGACGCCGGTGAAGGGGGTGACTGATTTGAGGCGGCCGGGTTTTTTTTTTTTTTTTCTTCCCCTCGCTTTCCTTCATGGGAATGCCTGGCTTACTTAAACCCGGGAATTTCCCAGACAGAGGGTGCTTTTCCATGGAGTCTTTTTTTCCCCACGAGCGGTTGGGGTGGGGGTGGGGGGGGAGGGGTGGGGGTGGGGGTGGGCTAGATGACCTCTGGCGGTCCCTTCCCATGAAAACGTGCGGGGGATGATAAGCGCCGTTCCGGGCTGCAAGCCTGAAAGTATTTTGGCTTGGCAGCGCGTTTGAGTACTGTTAACTTGGAGAGGATAAGCTACAGGTCTAAACGAGGCGAGCAAGGGGAAAAAAATGTCTCGCGACTGTTTTAGAATAGAATAGAATAGAATAGAATAGAATAGAATAGAATAGAATAGAATAGAATAGAATAGAAAATAGAATTTTTTTTTATTTTTATTGGCCAAGTGTGATAGGACCCACAAGGAATTTGTCTTTGGTGCATATGCTCTCAGTGTACATAAAAAGACAAGATACATTCCTCAAGAATCATAAGGTACAACACTTAATGATAGTCACAGGGTGCAAATAAGCAATCAGGAATTGCTTATTTTGGATCCGTTTTGCCACTTTCATCTGCTCGATGGGTTAAAACAACGGCCCCCACCACTCACCCCCCCCCCCCCCCCACCCAAAATAAAAAATAAAATAAAAAGCCTTGTCAGGCATAGATCAAAGGAAACACATTTCCTCCCAGTGTGTATTTTGCAAAGAAATTCTAGGTTGGGTTCTGTGCAGGTTTCACACCTCCGTGTAGCCCTGGGGTTTCCATAGCATGTGGGGTGGTGGAGAAAGTATTAAAAAAAAATTATGAAAAGGGCTTCATTCACCTTTCTCTCATAGTTTATATACAGCGATCCAATCCCAAATAACATTCTCTTGTTGTTAAAAATTGGCTTCCAACAACCCCATCCCTGCCTTTCCTCCCCCAATATGTGATGCTTTTTGGAATTATTCCCTCTCCCCCCCCCCCCCCCCCACTTCTTTGGAGAAGGAATTGAAGGACACTAACAATGCCAAGATTTTGCAGGGGGGCAAAAAAGAGAGAAAGAGAAAAGAAGAAATAGAATAGAAGCCGGGGAGGCATGGCGTGTGTGCAAACTGTTTTTATTTACTTGGATGAATTATTCTGAAAATAAAACCTCTGGCGTTTGTCCCTAATGCAAGTTCAGGCTGCTGTCTTGAAGACACCCTCCATTGGTTAGGCCAGTGGGGGCTGGGGATGATGGGAGATGTAGCCCAAAACAGGAGAGAAAAGGAAGCACGTGCAGACATATAGGACTATTCTGAAGTGAAGGAAATCAAGGCTTCTGGCCAGCGTCGATTTTGCCCATTCATAAATGCAATTCGCGCAAGAACAGATGTTGTTACTACCTAGTGATGCTTTTGTGTGAGGAATGACTCAGGCTTCGTTGTGAGAATATACAACAGGTCTTCCGTTCGCTGAATGATTCCCAGCTTCCACAGGCGTGTGCAAACTCCAGAAAGATATGCCAGGCAAACACTCCTTCAGTAACTCTGTTTGGGAGAAGCGTGCATTTTATTTTCCCTTTATCTCTACCACATCTCCCTCCCTGTTTTTAAAATAGCTTTAAAGATATCAACTTCCCTCTTCCTGTTTCTAAGGAGTGGTTTGTCTATAGATAACAGCAAACCACACAAAATAGCTGGGTAAAGGTAGAGAAAACAATGAAACCTTGAGGTTTCTTTAATAGGGGAGGGAAGTTAAAGACCAAAAAAAAAAAAAAAACCCAACCCAAAAGCACCAATTACCAATGGTTTGGGTTTTTTTGAAAGAATAATAGCATATCCGGTTGGAGCTTTTGACCAAAGATTTCTACCAACTGAAAATATCTGCTCATAGTCCACTAGGAAATTTTCCTATAAAAACACCAATTTGGCATGAATGGAACTAGGTGTAAATATTGGAGCCTTTGTCGTTGTATTTTTTGCTGCAGTGTGATTAGCCTTTTGGGTGGGTTTTTTTTTCTTCTCTCTTTCTCGTTTTATTTTTGCCATCCGGTAGAGAAGAGTCATCACCATAGCAACACAACTGTCACAGCTTCCAAATGCTGCCCCAGCACAGGTGACCAGAAAACAAGCAACAGCCTCAGAAAAACAAAATACAGGCTTGTGGTTTTCTTCATTAACTCTCGCGTTGATGTTTTGGGTCCCTGGTTGACTAGTGGGGGGACAGACAGGAAAAGCCTGAGCAAGAAATATTTGCATTTTTTACAAAAAAAAAAAAAATGCTATCCTATGAATTGTCTGTGTTGACCCATATATCTATTAGTGCATCTTTTTTTAACTTGGGAGAAGTGTATGATAAAATTAGGCTGTTTTTTCTTAGGTTTATTCATTTACAAACCAGTCCATAGCCAAATACTTGCCCCATATAGAATAGAATAGAATTCTGTATTGGCCAAGCGTGATTGAACACACAAGGAATTTGTCTTCGGTGCATAAGCTCTCAGTGTACATTAAAAAATACTTTCGTCAAGAATCATAAGATACAACATTTAGTGATAGTCGTAGGATACTAAATAAGCAATCAAATCATACTAGGAAACTAAATAAAACAATATAAATCATAAAGATACAAGCATGTAGGGTTAGAAACAGGATGAAAGAGGAAATCTTTCCTAGCATTGAAGCTAGGAGGTAATGTTATGTTGATCTAATTGCTGTATTGCTCACCATCCTCTAAAGGGTGTTAAGATGGTAACATAGATATTTAATCAGCTCTACATTTTCTTAGTCTGTTTGTGCCCGAATCAGATTGCTTCACCATCTAGCCTAATCTTGTCTGCTTTCAAGGGCACTCTCAAGTAAGAATTTTTTTTCCTCATCGACTGCTATAACTTTTCAACCTCCTGGCAATCTTGATGTGCTGGTTCTACAACTCCCAGAATTCCTGATCAGCAAGCAGGAAGGTTCTAAAACAGTGTTTCTCAATCTTGACAACTTTAAGATATGTGGACTTCAACTCCCAGAATTCCCCAACCAGCTATTCTAAAAGAAAGAAAGAAAGAAAGAAAGAAAGAAAAGATGGCATTTATGGAATTAGTGATGCTGAGGATTGGAAATTGCCAACTCCTTCTGGATGCAAATTGTGCAGATTTCCATGGAACTGCAAACCCTGCAATAGTTTTAAGATTATTATTGTTAAGAATTACAGGTAGTCCTCGCTTAAGGACTGGCCACTTAGTGACATTTTGAAGTTATGACACCCCACCCCCAAATAAGTTACTTATGACCCAGTTTCAGAGTTCTAATGGCTGCAGAGGATCAGATGACTGCATTTTGGGCACTTGGCAATCAGCTTACTAGTCAGTTGCAACAGAACGCATCACATAACCACAATTTATGACATCTTTGTCAGGTGTCAGGCTTTACTGCCAGTTTCTAGCAAAAAAAAAAAGTTCCATAGGAATACGGCGATTCACTTAACATGGCATTTGCTTAATAACCCCCATAAAAAAAGTTGTAAAATAAGGTCGGATCCCATGGGTGCCTCGACTTATGACAGAAGTCGTATTATGACTTATGACAGAAATTTCAGGCTTCATTATAGTCGTAAATCAGGAGTGGTGTGGTGGCCTAGAGGTGGAGCTCTCGCCTCACAATCAGGTGGGTGTGAGTTCGATCCTAGGTAGAGGCAGATATTTCTCTCTCTGGGCACACTGAGAATATATCTGCTGAACAAAACTCCGCATTGGCAACAGGAAGGGCATCTGGCCATTAAATACTCTGCTAGCTCCATTCAGTTGCCCAGACTTCACCCCGCAAGGGATTATGGGGTTGTTAAAAGAAGAAGATGATGATGATGGTAGTCCTAAATCAAGGACTATTTGAACAAGGCCTAGAAGGCATATGTAATGATGCCCCTATACTTTCGAGCAGCCTAGCTGTCCCCTTGTAGAAGAGCTAAATGGAAGAGGGAGGACTTGATGAACTATCGTTCCCCAGAATCTTGTTCTTCATGTACTTCAGGGAGCAATCAGAACCATCCAGGAAAATAACATAAGAGTGTTCTTCACTCTCCCATTTCATATTCAAAATAAATTCAAAACAGTGGTTTTCAACGGTGCTTTTTTTTTTTTTCCAAGAGGCAACTGGACTTTCTGCTTTTTCTTTGAAGACGTTTCGCTTCTTGTCCAAGAAGCTTCCTCAGCTCTGAAAGTCCAGAGGGGGGGGGGCGGGAAGAAAACACACACCTTTGGGACAACCATGACCTGGAGAATTTATTTATTTATTTATTGGTTCAATTTATATGCTGCCCTTTTCCGGAGACTCAGGGCGGCTTACAATGCGTTAAGCAATAGCCTTCATACTTTTGTATATACCTGCTTAGTAGGGCTTTCGGGGGCCCCAAGCGGTGTTCTTTTTTATACAAAGTCAACTTATTGCCCCCACAATCCGGGTCCTCCTTTTACCTACCTCGAAAGGATGGAAGGCTGAGTCAACCTTGAGCCTGGTGAGATTTGTAATTGCAGGCAGCTGGTGTTACTTAACAGTGCTTTAGTCTGCTGCGCCACCAAGGCTCTTATAATCTCCATAGACAGTGGTTCTCAAGCTTTTCTTCATCATGGACCCCCTTTAAATACGTTTGGTGGACACGGACCCCCAACACTTAACTCAATATTTAAATCTTAACATTTCTTCAAGCCTTCTTGGACACCCCCCCCCCCCCGCCGTGACAATATCGCTCCAGGGCCACCTGCTGAGAACCACTGCAGTGAAGTATCACTGTGTTTGTGACTGACACTATGGTTTTGCCACAAGTGAAAAAGAGGGGGCTGCCTCTAGAAAAATGGCAGGGAAAGTGTGGGCATCCTTGGTTACCTGTTCCCAACAAAGCTCAGGGTTGAAATGAGGGGTCCTTGGTGCTCTGTGAACTTGGTTGCTTTCTTGCAGATGCTTCATTCGTTACCTAAACTAGGTAACATCATAACATCATCAGCGCTTTTAACTTAGGACAGCGTGACTTGCTGCAGTCTAGAAATGCAAATTGTCCTTCAGCTTCTGGCATTTCTGCCCTACAGAAGATAAAAGGGAGATTCCCGGTGATGAACTTGTCTAGAGTCTTAGAAGTGATTTTTGCTAAGATTAATTGGAACTCTTGGGAGGAGAGAAGGAGGTTCGAGCCTTTACTTTATCATAAAGATCACAGGGTGACCTTGCACCAATCACTAACCCAATTTACAGTTATTTTGAAAAGAAGATGCAGGGGAATACTCAGTAGGATAAAAATGTAGGGGTGTGTGCAGGTACTCTGTATTTGTATATGTGCTACCCGAGAGAGAAAGAGAAGCCAACTAGCCCAGGGGTGGGGAATTGTGGCTCTTTGACAACCTGTGGACTTCAACTCCCAGAATTTCTGAGACAGCTTGGCTGTCTAGCCTATTGAATTGCTTATGTGTTTTTAACCCATCAAAAGAGCTTGCAGTTCTATCCAGGGAAAGATCTAAAGCTAGTTTTGCATATGCAGATTTCCTTCCTTTCCCCCCTTCCCTCATTTCAGAAAGTAATCAAAGCATGCTACTCGTCTGTCTACTCCTGCGATGTCAATGAGTACGGTTTGGTATTTGGTTTACCGAACAGGATAGGACAGTGATGGTTAACCTTTTTGATGCCGAGTGCCCAAAGCGCAAACGCTCTTGTGAATGCAGGCGCGCATGCCCGAACTCCCAAATGCAAGCCCTGCGCATGCGCGCCCCCCCTCCACTCTCTGTTTTGGTTTCCCGGTTGGTGCAGGAGGCTTTCCAGGCCCAAAACGGGTCGCGGCCCCCCATGCCCCGTTTTGGGCCTCGAAAGCTTCCTGCATCCCACGCATGCTCCCTTGCCCCTGTGCATGCTTGCATGTGTCCTTTGCATGCCCCCGCTCCTGCACATGTGTTACATAGACCTTAAGACCGGCGGGAGGCACGCACGGTAGAGCTGGGCTAGGGCAACGATTGGCGTACCCGCAGAGGGCTCTGCATGCCACCTGTGGCACGCATGCCATAGGTTCACCATCATGGGATTAGGAGATTTCAGATTGATACTGAGATTAGATAGACTTAGTTGCTGTCTCTATCTGGTTCAGAGACTAGAATTGCCCAGAGCATCGGAGAGGTCTAATTCTAGAAAGCCTGAGGTCCTAACATACCTCCTTTCCAAATTCTGGCAACCATGTGACATGTGAGCCAAACAATCCATGCAGGTGTTAGCAGGCAGCGGATGTTTTGGTAAACGTTGCTCTATGCTGTAGATCTCAACAGTTTGCCATCTAGCTGTCTGAAAGAAATATAGCTGTTCCATTTTTGGTTGAGTTGGAGATTCACTGAAACGCTGGTATGAGAAAACTTGCTGGCTTTAGGGGTAAGTCCATTTTCTGGTACAAACAGATGCGGATATGGGGAAGAGGGGAAGGAGGAAACGAACAAAAGAATGTGTTGTGTCTGAAAAAAGTGAACCCTTTTTCACAGAACTATATTATCCGAGGGTAGCTATAGCACCAGACGCACTAAGATATAGCTTTGCTACAATCACATGCTCTAGTGACATGATTGCTTCAGTGTGTGTTAACAATGGGGCTACCTTTGAAGTCTCCTTAGGCATTTTATTTGGTTCAAAACACAGTTGGCAGCTACAATCTGGATTTTCCCTTGGGACATTACAGCAGCCTCACCGGTTTCCATTTGTTTCTAAGGAAAAGAAAGCAAAATCCAGACATTGTTCTCCGAGGTGCTTAATGCCATGAATAAAACCTGAAGCATTGCTCAAGTCTGCCCATTTTTAAAAATGGGTAGGGGGGAGGTTGATTACATTATTCACATTTATAGTTGTTTAAGCACCTTCACGGGTTACAAGATTTTTAAAAGGGGCGGGGGGAGACCAGATTGACATGCTGCTGTATAAATGCAGCCAGAATGTTGGTGATTTGCATGTTTGCAAACTGCCTTTTCCTTTTCTTTTTTCTTCCTTTCCTTTTTGCATAATAGCAATAGCACTTAAGACTTACATACTGCTTCACAGTGCTTTTACAACCCTCTCTAAGCAGTTTACAGAGTCAGCCTATTGCCCCCAACAATCTAGGTCCTCATTTTACCCACCTTGGAAGGATGGAAGGCTGAGTCAACCTTGAGCCTGATGAGATTTGAACTGCCAAATTGCAGGCTACCGGCAGTCAGCAGAAGTAGCCTGCAGTACTGCACTCTAACCACTGCGCCACCGCAACTCTTAACCAAAAGCCATTCATTTCCTAGAAGCACAGCTGCATAGAAGTTTGTCCATTGACTATAGGCTCAGGATAGATCTCTAACTAACAACCATTCATTTAGTGATGGTTCAAAGTTACAATAGCACTGAAAAAATGTGACTTATGAACAGTTTTCACACTTACGACCTTTGCGGCATCCTCATGGTCACATGATCTAAATTCAGATGCTTGGCAACTGGCATGTATTTATGACAGTTGCACTATCCCAGGTTCGTTTGATCACCATTTGTAGACTTCCAACCAGTTTCTGACAAGCAAAATCAATGGGGGAAGCCAGATTCGCCAAATGACTGCATGATTCAATTAATAGCTGTTAAGTGATTCATTCACTTAAGAACTGTGGCAAAAGTGGGCAAAATGCACTTAACAGTTGTCTTGCTTAACAAATTTTGGGCTCAATTGCAAATTGAGGACTGTCTATACTCCAGTACAAGGGTGTCAAACTTGATTTCTTCAACGGTTGGATCAGCATTGTAGTTCTCCACGGGCTGGCTGGGGGGGTGGGTAGACAGGACAGATGCCTCTTGCAGCACTGTGCTGGCCAAAACGGAGGAGGCCATCCAGGCTGAAAGTGAGACGCGGGAGGCACACAGGGGCTCCTTGCGCCCCGATTTGGCTGCCAAAGGCACTGCAGGCCAGTCCTCTGCTATTCTCAGGCCGGCCTCATGAGCCAGATTTAAGCACCCTGCAGGCCAGATTCAGCTCGCAGGCCTTGTGTTTGACACCTCTGCTCTAGTGCATCTCCTCCCTGACATTGTCTCC